AGCTTCTCGTGGACGGTTCTTCCTTTGCCAAAACGAGTCCCTGGACACGTTTGCCGAGGGCTGGGAAACCAAGTCGTGGGAGCGCCGTGCGCGGCGGTGGCATCTGTGACTGTCCCCGTGCCGGCAGCAGCAAGGCTGGCGCGTGGAGCTGAACCACCTCTGCGCCCACCAGAGTTTGGGAGCGAGGAATTCCGGCAGGTCGGAGCAGGCTCAGCTCAGGCAGGGCTGCCGGGAACGGCCTGCTGGCAAGTTCCCCAAATAGCTTCAGTTTTAGGTAGGGGGAAGGGGGCGGAGGGGCCGTTGTGCTTCGGTTTCCCAGAGTCCAGGCGAGCCCTGTTTGTGCTGCTCCCGCACAAGGCCACAATTTTCACAAGAACAACATCCTGCTTGGAGAAGGGAGCCACAGGAGACCCCGGCGCAGGGAGCTTGGCAGGGCTCAGCCCAGGTCCACGGAGAGAGCGGCCGCAGCACCAAAAGCTACACGTGAACATCAGTATCATGAATTCCAAGCTCCCCATAGAGCCCACGGAGCAGCCAGCGCACGGAGAGCGGGAGGCAGGATCCCCGCTTAGGCTTGCGAGGCTGCCGGACTCTCCCATGGCAGGGACAAGGCAGCAGCGTACAGGGAGGCCTCGGGATAACCCGCTCCGGGATCCCGGGATCCCTCGGCCCACGCTGCGATCCCGGCGCTCCGGGGCAGAGGCTGAACTCTCCTGAAGCAGGGAAGGGACGACCCCCGGGGCATCGGCAGCCCCTCCGGGCTCGCAGCGGAGGCTGCTTCCGCGCGCTTCCTACACTGCCATTCCCAACCAGGAACGCCTCGCTGGGGAGAGCCGGATTTTGCTTTTCAAGGTGAAAATGCAGAAGAGGAAGGAAGGGAAGCGTCCGAGGAGCAGTGGAATAAGGCAGTGAAAACACCCTGCCAGCGCAACACATGGGAATCGGGTGATATCTGGGGCTCTGTTGAAGGAGGAGATTCCCCCTTCAGGGCAGCTGCCAGCTGGATGCATCCCGGCCGTTTCCAAGAGCAGCACAGGGAAAGGGAGCGGGAGAAGCCCTGTTTTGGGGTCCCTGCGCCCGGCTCGAAAGCAGCTGTGCCCTTTGTGCGCACGGGGGTGGCTCGGACACGCGGCCGGAAGGGGGGGCAGGGGGGCCCCTCGGCCGGCCCCGCCTGCCTCCCCCCGCGCTTGTACCGAGCGCGGGAATTGCCAAAGCCACAGGATTAATGTCTAGCAGGTCCGAGCCACAGCAACCCAATCCCCTCCCGCAACCGCCTGGGAGGTCCGCAGCCGCGCGGGGGGCGACACGAGGGGCTGCAAAGGGGACCCCACACGGCCAAAGCAAGGGAAACGCACCCAAGGGAAACGCACCCAAGGGAAACGCACCCAAGGGAAACGAAACGAAGCGTGGAGCGGGGCCAGGCTGATGCCCTGGCGCGCTCGGCCCCATTGATGCCTTTTCCCGCGTGCTCTTGTGCTTCCTGGGAAGTCGCGCACACAAGCCCAAGGGCCCTTGGCTAATTCCCGCTGCACGTGCCTTATTTTGGCACCAAAATTCCCAGGTTAGGAGCCGGTCTGTGCTCACTACAACCATCCCCCAGGGACTCTGTGGCCCCAGCAGCCCCCCAGGCCAACGGGTGCCCTCGACCTGCAAAGTCCTCCCAGTTCCAGCCAACAACCTTCGCCGCAGGCCAGAGAGCACTGGCCAAAGCCCCCGTGCCGGGGGGTCCGGCCGCTGCTTGCCCCAGCTGCAGAGCCCCCTTGCAGAGCACTGCCCGTCTCAGGGGGCCTATTCATTTCTCCTCGCAGAGTTTTTCCTGCTATCCGAGAGCAGCCGAAAGCAGAGAACAGCTGTGCGGCGCGGGACAACGGCGGGATGCGCCCAAAGCGAATGGAGCCTGGAGAAGTGTCCCTCAGACAGAAACGGGAGGAGAGGAGTCCCTCAGAGGAAACCCCAGGGAGATGAGTCCCTTGCATCTCCTCTGATTCACAGCGGGGACTGCAGCAGATCCGACTCCTCTCCCTGCCTCCTGGGTCCCATCCAGAGAGGCTCAGCACCTCCCCAGATAGCCACGGCCCCGGCTGGTGGGTCAAGGGCTCTCCCTGGAAAAGATCCTGGCAGGAGTGGGCTTAGCACTGCCGGGGGGGCTCCAGTGGAAACTTCCATTGCGCTGCATTCAATTCCCCCGGGGCCGGCCCGGAGCCGCGCGAGATACCCGACCTGCTGCAAAGGGGGCCTAAAACAGGGAGCAGGAGCGCGGGGCGGCCCCGTGGGTGCAGAGCCACCAAGGAGGGACACGGGGAGCCGCTGCTCGGCCAGACCCGCAAGGTCCGAGAGCGGACACTCCTCGGGACCCTTTCCCGCATGCGGAAAGGATCATCCCTGTGCATCCTTCCCCACCCGGGACGTGCTCCCGGGAAAGATCAGCAGGGTATTTTTACACGGTGTGTCAGGCCCCGGCGGGAGGGCAGAGCAGCCACCGTCCCCTCCATCTATGGCCTTGGCCAGATGCTCCGGGCCCTCCTCCCGCGGGATGCTTTGCCTCCGAGCGCTCCATGCCAGGCACCACGCATCGCTCCACGGATGCTCCCTCTGGCACAGGCCTGGAGAAGCTTTCTGTTCTGGCAAGGCAGGTTGTGACCCTCAAAGGCCAAAATCTGGAGGCAGAATCATAGAATCGTTATGGTTGGAAAAGATCTTCAAGATCATCGAGTCCAACCGTAAAGCGGAGCGGGACCTGGAGGGCTGCAAAGGGACCAGTTCAGCAGTAAGAGCAGCTCGTTCCAGCACCAAGACCACTAAAAGGGCTAAAATCTCCCCAGACCTGTGGGTTTCACCCAAGACATTATGTCTCTCTGCCAGAGGAGGGTCGTCACGTTGCTTACTGGCTTCGACATCCTGAAATTTTAGGGATCTCACCCAAATGATCTAGCCAAAACTGAAGAGCCAGCACCAGTCCTGGGCCGCCTCTCCACCTTCCTCTGCTAGGTCAAACCTCGTCCTTGCAGGTGTGCAAAAAGTGTGCAAAAAGGGTGCAAAAAGCAGCCCGCAAGCCACGGCAGGGCTCCAGCGTGGCACGCTGCCAGCACCACGGTATCTCGCGCTCCCCTGGACACCAAGCCACAGTCCACACATTCACATTACTGTTTTTGTTTGTTTTTCCATGTTTTCCCTTTAAAGCCCTGCCAGCCCAGGAGGTGCCTGCAGGACTGTGCTGTGACCTTTCTGCACGGTCTCCGGTGACATTCCCCACCAGCACGGAGGAGCCGGGAGCTCCAAGGCACTCGGGACCTGCTCCTGTCTGGACGCGCCGCAGCCGGCGCGGGCCCTGCCCGGGCTGCAAAGCAGTGAAACAGGTTTAGCACCATCCTTTGCCTCTCCTCTGCCACCTTGCTCAGGTTGGAGCGTTTCCCTAGCCAGTGGCACGCTGCTTTCCTGCCACTGTAGCACAGGGAACGTCACCGCAGCGAGAAGCCGGGTTGCAGAGATATTAAAAACGTATTAAAAGCCTCCGCAGCTCTCAAGATGTTTAAATTATTTAGGGCACTTGGACCAATCCCAAGGAAAAAATAAACAAACAAAAACGGGCATGAAACTCGAGAAGCGTTCCTTCTGCTTCCACGCGCAGGCACGAATTCACGGATCCCGCGGTCCCGCAGAGCCGGATTCTCTGCAGGGAGCGGAGGTGCCGTCGGCAGAGCCGGAGCGCGGGCGGTTGGACCGCGGCACCCGCGCAGGGCGCCGACGGGGTGCGAGCCGCGGCCCCGGCGCGGGTGGCCCGCCCCGCCCCGCCGCGCCCGCCGCACGCCCTCCCGGGGCCCTTCGGCTGCAGAGGACGAAGCTGCAGCCCCGGGTTGTCGCTGCGGGGCCACGTTTCAGGCTCGACAGCCCCTCTGGGCAAATGGGGGAGTTTCCCTTGCTTTTCTCTCCCCAGTCCCTGTTTCACAGAGGAAGGAAGGAGGGAAGGAAGCTCCCCCAAAGCAGCACGGATAACGGATAACCACATCCCAGGGAAGGCGTTCCACCTGACCTACTTTCCACGGGCACTGCTACAGAAGTGCCTAGTCCTCAGAAACAACCAAGACAACCCACTACTACCAAATCCCAACTGGCACTGAGGAAAGGAGCATTGGGGACATGGGGACAGGATGCCATGGAACCCCTCCGATGCTCTCCCGCCAGCACTGGCTCTATAGGCAGCGCTCTCCCGCTCCCATTTAACACCAAAACCAAGCCAAGTTTCTCCCCAGGGTGCCCGCAGTCCTCCGCACACCCACCCACCTCTTACACAAGCCTGGCCAGCTTTAAGTCACACCCGGAGAGTAAATCCCGGCACCATTCCAGCAGCGAACAGACTCCTGCTGCAATGGGCTCTTCCCAAGATGTCCCCGGCAGGACATCCACATCTGGAATATTGTGTCCAGTTCTGGGCTCCACAGGACAAGAGGGATGTGGAGCTGCTGGAGAGAGTCCAGCGCAGGGCCACAAGGATGATCAGGGACCTGGAACATCTGCCCTATGAGGAGAGGCTGAGGGAGCTGGGCCTGTTCAGCTGGAGAAGAGAAGACTGAGAGGGGACCTGAGCAGTGTCTAGAAGTACCTCAAGGGAGGCAGTGAGGAGGATGGGGCTGGTCTCTTTTCAGTAGTGGCCACCGACAGAACTGGAGGTAATGGCCACAGACTGAAGCACCAAAAGTTCCACAAGAACTTAAGGAAAAATTTCTTAACAGTGAGGGTGACAGAGCCCTGGAACAGGCTGCCCAGAGAGGTTGTGAGTCTCCTTCTCTGGAGATCTTCCAAACCCGCTTGGACACAGTCCTGTGCCACGTGCTCTAGGTGACCCTGAGTGTGCAGGGGGTTGGACTAGATGATCTCTAGAGGTCCCTTCCAACCTTAACGATTCTATGATTCATTCCACAATTCTAGGATGGGAGAGGTGACCCCCGGGCTGCGGCACGGCCAGCCCGGCCCCTCCGCGGCGCTGAGCACGCACCACTCACCATCTCGTCCAGGGCGTAGCGCAGCAGCCCGTGCTCGTACAGGATGAAGAAGCGGCGCTGCCATTTCTGCAAGGGAAGACAGCGACGCTGGTTACCACAGCGCCCAACCCCTCCAGGAGGAGCCAGAGGGGAGCAGGGCTGCTAGGGGCTAAACCAGGGCAAGGCGACTAGGACACGTGGGGAAAAAAGGCAGGGAAGGCCCTTCATGCTTGGGGACTTCAGGTGACAACGTGACGCAGGGACCACCAAAATGGCAGCTGCAAAGGACAGAGGCCGGGAAGCTGTCCAAAAGCAGAGGGGAACCCCCAAATACTGCAGCACCCAGTCCTAAAGGCTGATGAATATTGGTAAAGCTCTTCTGCCAGGCCATGCTGGTTCCCAGAAAAAAGCTTTGGCAACCCTGGCACTGCCAACAACCACTCGGGGGGCTGCAGAAGTGACACTCGCTGCCTGACACCTATGGCTGTACATGGACGGATGTCAGGCGCTGTGCAGGGGCACAGTCGGTACCTCGGCTCCATTTGAGGGTGGTTTTGCCTTCGGAGGCAGCTCTGCTCGAGCCATCCTGCCTCCATTGCTGATGCCAGCCTTTCCCCAGCGCCGCACTGGCACTGCTGTTTGTGCAGCCGCACAGCAAAACAGATCAGAGAACCGATCTGGCTGGAAAACTGCCCTTTTTTTTTTTGTACATGCCAGGTTGTTTTTCAGCCAAGAGCAAAAACTGGTCGAGCAGGCTGAAATAAAAAGGTCCTAGATTCATAGCCCCAGTGCAGCAATTCTTATCTTGCTTTTCTCAGGCCTTCAGGCAAAGTCCAAAGTGCCCAGGGACAAGCAAAACGACAGAGGATCCCGAGGACCTCCGCAGGTCCCAGCTTAGCAGGCAGCCTCTGCTCCAGGCTTGTACATGGCTCTGCACACAGCGATGTTGACTCGCAGAGCAAGGAGCAGAGCAGCACAGCCTGCAGCCCACCAGCCTAAAACTCTTCCCATCAACACAGCACATTTTGGGCCAGCCAGTGCAAATGGTGTGGGGGCATCAAAAAACAGCAGCAGCAAGAAATATAACGGCACGGTCTGAATCCAACCGGCTATTCCCAGCATGGTTCAAGCAAGGCGCCGGGAGAGGAGCCAGGAAGAAGGAGACGGAGCCCTGCTGATGCACATGGCTGGAAACGTCTCCCCGTGGCCGGGTTTGCACAAGGGGCCGGGTGGCAGCCCACGTCCCACCCTGCAGGGAGGGCAAGGCTGGGCCTTCAGCGCTCCTCCTGGCAGCCCTTCCCTTCCCGCTCGCCCCGCGGCCCCTGCGGGGACGGGGCTGCCTCACTTACCCGGGAGCGGTGCACGGGGTTGTCAAAGTCCGTTCCTTCGGGGGCCAGCAGCAGCCAGCCGCCGTAAATGGGTTTGGCCTGCAACGAAACAGCACAGCAAGGTCAGCCCGAGCGGCGGAGGGAAACAGCTCACGTTGAGTCAGCGCCGCGGGGGCAACCCAGGGAGAGAACCAGACGGGAAGCACAGGGAGCCCCGCACCGGCCTCCGAATGACCAAGGCGAAGGCAGCTCTACGAGGCCGAGCTCCCAGGCGTGCGCAAATTCCCCTCTGCCCTCGTCTGGGAACCTGACGCTCGACTGCAATGCGTGGTGTTACATACAAGGCAGAGCAACGAGAGGATGTGGAAAGAAAACAGAACGACAGAGCCCACCTAATCTAGCTGCCCCTGCAAGGCCTTGCCCTGAGCACCGGCCTCCCACAGCCTGCAGCCTCCCTGCCTCCACCAGCACAATTTCATTGCCCTCAGCAACTATTGCAGAGAGAGAGCAAATCCCTGAGGAAAGTTTGTTTACATTTGATTAATTTGTAGAGGGGAAAAAAAAAAAAAAAGCTCCAGCACTGGCAGTTCTTCAATTTGCAGCCAGGCCCATGGCCCGTTTTCCTGCACCGTGCACATCCCAGCACCTGCTGCCCCGCACACACGTCCCCCGCCAGCTCCCCCTGTCCTGCCATCGCTCTGGAAGCGTCAACACCTCAGCATACAGGAAGGGCAAATCCCGGCAGAGCGAACACGGTTCATTCAGCCGGCTGCAAAAAAGAAAGGGAAAGAATACCCGGAAAGAAAAGTCTTGCAGCGCTGCCATTTATCAGCGGGAAAAAAAAAAAAGGGAAAAAAATAAAAGACTAGGCTCTTTCCACAGCTGGTTTCTGTGCAGGACTTGCCGGCGCGAAGCAGAAGAGCCAGTTCTGCCGCTTCGCCCCGGGGAAGCGGGGGCGCCGCACGCACGGCCGGCGTTCCCACGCGACCGGCACCGGGACACCGGCCCCGGCACCGGCCCAGGGGCAAGACCCAAGCCAGCCCCCTGCCCAGCAAGGGCTGGGGAGGGTCGGCTGCCCCGGCCTCCTCTCCAGGCCGGTGTCTCTGCACAGCTGCTCTCAGGCCTGTTTGCACCAACCTGCAGCTTCAGGAGACGCCTAGAGCGCGGGTGCATCTCCCACGAGTCCTTATGCCCAACCTGCAGAGCAAAAACACCCCCAAAACAGCAACCCGAAACACCCAGTTCTGAGGCCCTAACCACCCAATGCAGCAACCCGAAACACTCAGTTTCTGAGGCCCAAAACACCACAAGGAGACATGGCCTGGCCAGGAGAAGAGCTCCTGCGGGAGTCCATGGGACCAAGGATGCTGGTTTGCACCTTGGCTGGACACATAAAGAGGAGGCCACTTCCACACTTCCAGTTCCTCTGGAGATTATTTGGTTATTCTTGATGGTTTTTTCTCCTTTTTGGAAGCTTAAAGCAGTATCCAACTCGGTACCTCCCCTAGCTTCGCCCTGCCAGTTTCTGTGGTTTTGTAATGATAAAAAAATAAAAAAAGTTTCCCCTCTGGAAAAATCCTTGCAAACAATAGAAGAAACTGTGGGTGCACCAAAATCCACCTGGAAAACTGGCACACCGAGCAAGCCAACGGGTGAGCCGGAGGAGCCGCTTAGCCATGCATGGAGGAGCAGAGCAAAAGCCCCGTCTCCCCTCCGGCTGCCGGAGTAGCGGAAAAACGCAACTGGGCAGCCGAAAAGCCCTTCCCTCTTTAACGGGAGCATGGAATGGGAATGAGTTCCCAAGCACAAGCTCCCTGCCGGCCTCACCTGGATGGCGGCGCCGTCGTCATGGTCCTGCCGGGTCCCCG